TGGCAATAAAAAGTAAGTGATAAACTGGATTTGAATTGGATCTGAACTTGATCTCCAATTTAGAGAGGTAACAACTACATACTGGTGAAGTTTCAGGAGCAATGAGTTCTGTATGACATTTCGTGTAACAACAAACTTCCACTATGCTGTAAAAAGCAATTTTTTTTGTACAATGTTTTTTATATTTGATTGCCTTTAATAATAGAAATCTATTAGTGATCTGCAGAGATAAATTTTCCCTCAAAATGGAATCTCATGCCTCTGTTTAATTAAAACCACAACGCATATCAGCACACACATAAAAACATAGTAATTTTTATTCCCAAAGTTTATATTTATTCTAGTATATATTATGGACATTATTTATAACAAATAATAAGAGCTTTAATAAAAAAATGGATTTTGATAATAATGAAAAGAATAAAAGATAATGACTGACATATTTATATTAAATTGTTTAAAAGGTTTTTTGTAATAAAAACCCATATTCTATATGTTTAGCACAAAACAAAAACAAAAAAAATAAATTTCTCTATGCTTTTTGATATTTCAATTTTATATGTAAAATCTGGCGATGCCTAATATAAAAGTCAGAAAAAACAAAAGGTTATAAATACATTTTTTTTATATTTTCAGAATTTTTGAGATTTATTCTACCAAATAAAAAAAAAGTTATGAAAAAAAATTTTTAATTTTGCTATAATTGGCTTGGTCTAAAGACATCCTAAATTTTGTGCAAATTTTAAAAGTATAGAAGTCATTTTCTGTCCTACATTTTTAAAAAATAGCTCTATTAATTGATATAAGAGGTCTTTAATTTTAATGTAATGAGAGATTTTCTCAAAAATTATTTGTTGTAGAGTTCTATTCTTTTTTAAAACATGTATATACTCATGAGGAATTTGAGCATCAGATCATTGCTAAATTTAGACTAGTTTTCGATCATCGTTACTAAATTTAGACCAATACTCAACAATTATATCTAATTTGGCAGGAAGGAAAATAATTTTTTAACCAAAATCACATGAAGACCTTTTTCGAAAAGTTTTATTGCATTTTTGAAATTTGAGCACATAGTGCAGCAATAGGAGGTCTTTAGACTGAGCCAACCATACAGTGCAGATCATCTATACTCAAAAGTTAAAATTTTTAAAATATTATGTGATCCACACATCGGATTTTAAAAAACCCACCACCATTCAATTCAGCTTTAAAAGGGGAGTCTATTAATTTAAAAAAAAATTGTCTCAAATTTTCTTTTCATAGATTTTTTAAATTTGAAAGTTATGCTCAGAAAAACAACAATAATTTTCGTGTAATCTCACTACCAAATTTGGTAATGATTTTTTTTAATGTTGGTTAAACTTTTTAGTCTCAATTTCTCAAGTGTATAACAAAATTCGGACTTTTCAAAATGCTAAGGCTCAGCCAATTTTCAGTTTAAGAAAAAACCAGCTGATAAGTTTTGAAGCTTGAGTTATGAACAATAAAACTTATCAGTTAAATTTTTTAAAATGATATATTTTTTTTTTGTTTTAGTATTTTGAAGTTGACCAATTGTCATTATAAACAATTAATGATTATAGATGATCTGCACCATATATAAACTCAAACACATTAAATTAAGTAATGCAAAATAATTATCAATATTTATTTTATATAAATTCATTAAATTCCTAAATCATTATCTTCTATATAGAAGAAATATCTTAATCAATCAATATTACAAAAAATGATAATACAAATCTAATTATTATTTTTAAAAGAACAGTTTAGATTCATTAAAATTCATTAAATTGCTAAAATAATCTAAAATCATTAAATCTAATTTTTAAAAAGTACTAAATATGTGTTTGGATTAAAAGAATAGACAATTTGCAAGCCTCTTTTGTTTGATATAAGATCACCTTATTGAATCATACTTTTTTTAATTCTGTATTTAGCATGTACAAATCATGGTCTAGTAGGATTTTCTCTCCAACATTTACATCAGGATGCCATACATCAATCTCTTGATTCAGGAGGGGTGGATAGACAACTTCCCTTATCTTGCCACACCAATCAAAATCTATTATCTTTATTGAATTATCAGGACCAACCAAGATGTTTGAAAGCCTCATATCTCCATGCACAAAGCCCAAAACATGTATTTTTTTTATTGACTCCATCAGGAAACTTTTCCTGCCATAATATTACATCCGTAAGTTTTAATATGAAATGTCGTAATATTACACATAAAAAGGACATAATATTTACACTGAATGTAATAATTGCATAATTTTTGCATAATTTTTGCATAATATTACACTATTTACATAAGTTTACGGCAGGCCCTGTAATATTACACAAATTTGCATCAGAAAAAATTTCCTGATGAAAGATACATTTATAAAACAATAAAATAGATATAATACAAATCCAAAAAAAAAATAATACCTCTCACTATTAATAAACAATACATCTTCATATCAGACCACAACATTCACATTTCCTCATCTTGTCACAATGCATTACTACTCATCATTCTAGTCACTTTAACTAATGTTAAATTATATATTTTTTCTTAGTGAAACAGGACTTAGTAAAAAGGATAAAGGTAATGATAATAATAAAAAATTAGCAGTTGATTATTTTTTGGTTTAAGCTTAGATTTAATATAGTTCTGTCATCTTCACTACCACTGTTGGTATTGGATAATAAAGTAAGACAAATAATTATATTTTTTGAATGGTAAGAATGACTGTTTTGATATCACTCTGATTTTATTAATATAATTCAACAATAGGGAAACAAAAGAAGGCTTCTGGGGGATATATCAAATACTTCAAATCATGATGAAGCATTGTTTACCACATCATCATTAAATATCAACATAATTTCTAGGTAATTTTTTGATAATAGAAACAATAAATAGGACTTAAATTTCATTGATTTTGATTCAACCATTTTTTAGTGATGATATTTTTAAAAAAATCGAATTGATGATAAAAGTGATAAAAGAAAAAAATAATGATGATGATGGTGATGGTGAAATCAATAAATTTATATCAAGGAAAAATAACAAGAGTCTTAACATATTGTTAAGAGTGCTTAATATATGTCACGAACTTATTAAAAGGGACACTAAAGTGATCAAATGGTATACTGTATTATATTATTAAAATAGGAAAATAAAAAATGGAAGGAAGAAAATTAAAAATATTATCCCTTAAACGTACAAGATTTGCATGCTAATCGGCACGCAATTTTTGAAAAAATGTAGACCCCTACTAGACAAATAAATTATTAATTGACCCTATATTTTT